CTTTTTTTGATATAATATAACAACAAAAGATTCCGCATGGAAGTTGTAACCAATGCAATCAAAATTCTTTCGTGCAACTTCATGGTTATAAATATAACAAAAAAAAAGATTAACCCCCTCTGCATAGAGGTTGAAACCAATGCAATCAAAACTCTTCCGCGTAACTTTGTGGATATAGGTAGGTATATTTAATTATTCCCAGATCTCATAATAGGTAATTTATTTAAAATCCCTAATCACCCGAAAAAATAGATGATATGGCAACGTTGTAAATTTTCAAATTTCTAGATCAGGTCTAGAATATATTTGTCTCTCTCATTACACAGAAGCATAGACAAACAAATAAAAAGAGACTGAGGGTGCAGCCACACTATCCTAAAAACGGCGTATCGGCGTAACGGCGTAACGACCTTGAATCGATTTCCAGTAATTCTATTGGCTGAAATTTTTGACAGATGAATTTGACAGATAAAATTCCTGACAGATGAATGTTTCAGCCAATAGAATTACTGGAAATCTATTCAAGGTCATTACGCCGTTACGCCGATACGTCGTTTTTAGGATAGTGTGGCTGCACCCTGAGGGTGCAGCCACACTATCCTAAAAACGGCGTATCGGCGTAACGGCGTAACAGCGTAACGACCTTGAATCGATTTCCAATAATTTTATTGGCTGAAATTTTTGACAGATGAATTTGACAGATAAAATTTCTGACAGATGAATGTTTCAGCCAATAGAATTACTGGAAATATATTCAAGGTCATTACGCCGTTACGCCGATACGCCGTTTTTAGGATAGTGTGGCTGCACCCTGTCAAATCCTTAGACAAGGAAAGAGAGGGGACGGATAACACGCATATTCTCCCGTCATCGGTTTGTGAGGCCAAAATTCGATCGGCGGCCATACTTTGGTGACAAGATTTCGGGGTGACACCGAGCGAATTTTTATGTTTTCTGTGACAACTGTTTTGTTTTAAATTTATAAACTGTGTTGTTTAGTATGGTGAGACGTTCAGCGTATGGCTGCAAAGGCCGACGCGAGAAAAAAGTGGCTGGAATTACATTTCGCAGGTAAAAATCGATACACAACTTTTGTTATGTGGTCTGTATGTACATTTTTTCATTATAGCAGTAAAAATATGTAAAATGCTTTTAATATGTCTTGTACCACATCCAAACCAAACTATTTTTAATAATTCCAAGTAGTATTTTCAATATCCTGTATTATAATTAATGTTTGAAACTATAAATAATGCTACTCACCCTGGATTTCTCCAGTGGCGTAGGGAATTATATGGTGGGTTCATGCTTCCGATCTTAGCCCTAACACTAACATTAGTCCTAACCTCAAGAATATGAATCAATGTTAACGAACGCTAGCGTTCATGCTCTCATTGTATCGGTCCTAACATTAGCCTTAGTCCTAACAGGTTGGGATATTTTATATTCTCGGCTAATGCTAATTCAAAACTGAATCGCGCATGCTCAAAGCTAGGGGTTTTAAGAATTCTCGAAATAATATCTGACATGTTGAATTTGACGCTTTATATTTGCGGTTTATAAATGTTAATAAATCATATATTTTTTGGTCTAGACAGTATTAACGTAAAAATTCGTTTCTCTAGTATTAGAAATAATAAAAATAATTGTAAATTTAGGTTAGTTCAAAACATATGTTTTATATGAGCGCAAGCGCTTACGAGAATATTGATTATTTTCTTAAGACAAGTAGGAGAAGTATGAACGGCCTTTCCTTAAGTTCTCAAGGTTAATTTCTTAGGGTTAATGTTAAGGTTAAGGTTAGGGCTAATACTCGAAGTATGAACCCACCTATAATCAGAGAAATACAATTTCTGCAATAAAAATTTTTTTTATATATTTTACCTGTAAATTTATTTTGATTTTTTTTGCAGTTAATTTCTGCAATAAACATTTTTTTATATATTTTACATGTAAAAAAATGTATAAAGTATTGTTATCAAATATGTAAAATAATTGTAAACTATAAAAAAAATGAAAAATTCTAGTGATAAAAAATCTATATGTATAGTTGTTATATAAAACTTAAATTTACCTGCCAAGATTTGCTGGGGGTGGACAAACTTGTGGTGGGCTACTTGTTACTACATACATATATTTTTTTAAATATTCTTTCAAAAAATTTGCTAATTTAAGTGTATAATAATAGTTTCAGTGAGTAATTAATAAAAATTTAAAAATAAATAAAATAACACAAAGCTTCTAGAATTGTTTTATTTTTTTGTGGATAAATTCGAATATTCTTAAAAATAGGATATTCTTATGATTGAAGGTAACTAATATTAAAAATTATATTATTCATTGAATCCGTACGCAAGTGTGAAGGGGAATGGCTAGATTCATTATTATACCGTATGGTCGAAAAAAAAAACGACGTCCAGTTGGCTTGTAAATGACGATCGACGACATTCCCCATATAATTTTACATATAAAATGCCAAACTGGACGTCGTTTTTTTTTCGATTATACGGTATAATAATGAATCTAGCCAATTCCCTTCACACTTGCTTACGGATTCAATGAATAATGTAATTTTTAATATTCATTTGTGAAATTGTCATTTCCAAACAAACAAGACGCCGTTTTTTTCGATCATACAGTATATATGTATATACACGTTTAAAACATATGTTATTACATTATTTTTTATTTAATTATACATTATACACACGTTAATAAATAAATAATTGCCTTGATAATCAGTCCACTGTGACTGTTAAATAAATTTTGCATTATCGACTTAGATATTCTAATATTATAAAGGTGAGACTATAAAATACAAAATTGTATATGCATTACTCAAAAATGAACGATATATTAGTTTAAGTTTTAATAAATATTTTGTACCGTCTAGGTACAAGCTAATTTCTGATGCTACGTCATTGGAGAATTTCGCGTGGTGACAACTTGCCTCACTTTCAGCTACCGTGTTACCTGTCCCCTCTCTTTCCTTGTCTAAGGACAAATCTCATGGTAAAGAGTGGGACCGCGTTCCCGTAGCGCAACTGAGGGTGCAGCCACACTATCCTTAAAACGGCGTATCGGCGTAACGGCGTAATGACCTTGAATCGATTTCCAGTAATTCTATTGGCTGAAATTTTTGACAGATGAATTTGACAGATAAAATTCCTGACAGATGAATTTTTCAGCCAATAGAATTACTGGAAATCTATTCAAGGTCATTACGCCGTTACGCCGATACGCCGTTTTTAGGATAGTGTGGCTGCACCCTCAGAATAACAATTTTGAAACCAATTAGCAAGACCATGGCAGGACGTACGTCTTTATTATGTGTGCTTTATATGAAAAAGAGAGGTATAAAACGTATCGTAATAATAATCGCATATTCTGGCTGGCGGAAAATTTAAATTAGCCATTATTAGTATTCTTTCGTTCTGAAATTGAAAATTTTCACTTAAACTGATTTATTCCCTATACCACGTAAAGGGAACGTGGTGTAGGGAATAAATCAGTTTAAGTGAAAATTTGCAGTTTCTTTCAGAACGAAAGAATACTACTATTATAAGGGAAATTATAAAAAAAGCAAAAATTGTAAACATATTTATTTATACATAAAAATAAATAAACTTTTTATAATATAATAACAAAAAAGAACAGTGTTTATTCCACTCACCTACCAATTTTAAATGCAGAAGAACTGACTGTTGCAGAGTTGCAGGAAACGATCGGCCAATTATTTTAAAGGGCATTAAAAATCTCATTTTTGAAAAAACTGCCTAATTGCAATAACAAAGTGAATATCCAAGCAAAGAAGACTTTACGAGAATCATGATCCTGAACCATTTTCAAGTCCAGTTTTAATCCTAAAACAAAAGTAAAATAGGTATATTAATTAGACTCTGACTGGCCGTCGAAAGGCGCGTGATCATCGTGAAACAACAAGAAGAAGAGGTATATTAATAAAGTGGTTACTATAAACCAGCTGTAAACTACCTACCCAAAACAAATTAATTGTATTAATTTATGTTAAGAGAGGTTCGAAATATTTTTGACACTACTACTTCTACTTTTTTCTTAATAAGATGATAAATAACTACTTACTTTTATTTTACCGGGTGTCTCTGACATATCTATCAGAGAAAGGGGACACCAATACATATAGAAAATAGATGATACTAGCTCCTGCAGCAAATAAAATAACAAATAGTATAACCTAAAATTATATGTAACAAAATATAAATACCTATATGGAACAAAGGAATTTGTTCCCTATCCATATTCATAAGTCAATAAAATGGAGAGTTTAGAAAAAAAGTTAAATCACCAAAAGAAAAATTAACAAACGTGAATTGTCATGATGTTGTCATCTTGGTTGTCATGATGACGAAAACGAAAGGCGATTGTTCTAATTTCTATTTAGAAATTACGTTTTATATGACTGCTTCTTTCTCTCTTGTTATATTAGAACATTATTAGAATGAGATGTGAGTGGGCCCAATAGACGCAATGCGCAGATCAACATTATTAGAACGAAATTTTGCGTTCTGAGTTGCGCTACGGGAACGTTGTCCCTCTCTTTGCCATTTAATTTGCCAGTCTCTTTTTATTTGTTTGTCTATGCACAGAAGAGAGAAAGAAGGATACATGAAATGTCAAACTTCCATCTGGTCGCAATTTTCTTTGTTATTTTGTTAAGAAGTGTGTAATTTTGTGTAAAGTGTTTTTCAGTAAAATTTTGGACATTTTTCTATCCCCAATCAAGTGTGGCTTTTAGATAAACTATAATATACTGAAAATATAGTGAAATTATTACTGTATATGGCCGAAATAAAGAAAAATTCAATGTTGAATTTATTTTCCGTTTTCCTAAAAAACGGTAAGAGACCGCCAAGAAAAAAGTTCAGATTCGTAATCTACGACCTCAAAACAGTGTGTATACCAATTTTGGTGAAAATCGGACGATTTCCAGTTTTCCCAATAATTACCAATTTTTTTTATAGAATATGGAAGTAGCTATAGTTCCTATACAAGAAAATGTTGAAGAAGAGGAAATTACAATTGATCAAAGTGATTTTGATTTTCCAATCTCACTAAGCAATTCAGATTTATATTCGGTAATTTTTTCTCCATAATATTAAAACCTTAGTAATTAACACTAACTATGTAAGCCTGCAGTGGGATTCTATAAGCTCCGTAGCAAGAAATTTCCTGTCTAGCCTATGCTATTTGTTTATGATTGATGAGTCACTAGACACGAAATATGTTTACAGAATCGGGCTATGGGGCTATATAAATTGGGTCCATTTTAAGGTGGGTTCATACTTCGAGTATTAGCCCTAACCTTAACATTAACCCTAAGAAATTAACCTTGAGAACTTAAAGAAAGGCCGTTCATACTTCTCCTACTTGTCTTAAGAAAATAATCAATATTCTCGTAAGCGCGTGCGCTCATATAAAACATATGTTTTGAACTAACCTAAATTTACAATTATTTTTATTATTTCTAATACTAGAGAAACGAATTTTTACATTAATACTTTCTAGACCAAAAAATATATGATTTATTAACATTTATAAACCGTCAAATTCAACATGTCAGATATTATTTCGAGAATTCTTAAAACCCTTAGCTTTGAGCATGCGCGATTCAGTTTTGAATTAGTATTAGCCCTAAGAATATAAAATATCCCAACCTGTTAAGACTAAAGCCCCGTTCTCAGAACGACGTCGTGTCGCTGGCGACACAGTTTGACATTTCAAACAACCAGTAGGAGCTGTACTAAATTTAAAATTTACAGCTGTTTGAATTTTGTACAAATCCCATTGGTCCTCTTGACGTGTCGCTGGCGACAGTCGCTGTTCTGAGAACGGGGCTTAAGGCTAATGTTAGGACCGATACAATGAGAGCATGAACGTTAGCGTTCGTTAACGTTGATTCATATTCTTGGGGTTAGGGCTAAGATCGGAAGCATGAACCCACCATTAATGAACAAAGATACCTAACCCTTTTTGATTGATTATAATTTTTTGTGTAAAACATAGCAATATAGAATGGAAGAAATTTTTGTCTCATGTATGTAATCATTGTCTTACAGATTAAAATAAAATGCTTGCAGTGGTCCGTGATTTTTAAGATTGTTATTTTCACGATCAAAGTTGAACTTTCAAGGCCTCTTACTAAATATTGTTTTATTAATTTACAGGATGACGACCTTTTTGAAGAATTAAGTGTAGAAAATAGTTTACTAAGGAATCGAATAGAGTGTTCTCAAAATACATCAATTAATGCTTTGCAAATTCAGAATAGATCAATTTGTGAAGAACTGATAAAAATTAAGGATACATTGCCAACTCATTTTATAGAAGACCAAATTAAAGTTTTTGTAGAAAATGTAAAAAAATCATAAATTGATGAAGAAGATAAAAAATCTAAATGGTGACTAATCAATTTCAATCTGTCATTTCTGCGAAGAGTTAACAATTGTCTGCAAAAAACTGGGTATCTTTACCGTAGTTATTAATGCATATAATGTATAAGGTTCAAATCAAAATTCAGATTTTTTCTGATGTTTTTAACCTACTTAAATCAAAGCAGGAGAAATAAACTGAAGAATATATTCTGCCTTTTATTTTGTGATAAATTAGATATATCCCCCCTGAGGATAGGTATATCTGAATCGGGGAATTGGGTATACAAAATCCAATGAGAAATGATCATTAACAGAAGATAATTTACCTCCTGTTGAGCAAAAGGTACTTTTGTCTCTTAAAAAATGATTAAAGGGCATATTCAGTAGGTCTGACAATAGGTGTTTTCCATTTTTTATACCTTTAAGGGATGAGGGTGGCCCACCTCATTTTTTTTTATTTTGTGGACAAAATTTTGTATTTTTATATTTTTGTGATTTGGCATTAAAAAATACTTACAACCCTAAATTTTCACCCTTTTACCATCAACCCCTATTTTTTAATAGTTTTTTTGTTACTATACTCCTCCGAAACGGCTTAACCGAGTATGATGAAATTTTATATGTACATGCATAAATTCAGTAGATATAGTGTAGTATAAAAAATGATTAAAGGGCATATTTAGTAGGTCTGAGAATAGGTGTTTTTCCATTTTTTACATCCCTAAGAGATAAGGGTGGCCCACTCCAATTTTTTTTATTTTGTGGACTAGGGCTGTAACGAGCTCTGTTTTTTAACTTGGTCGAGCACCGAGTACTCGGCTAAAGGTAATGGCCGAGTAGTGGAATCACAAAGTGGAATTGTCGGGTTAATAGTCTTAACAGGGTTATGCGACCTTTATCAATATATACTAATTATACCTTAAGACAAGGGAAAGAGAGGGGACAGATAACACGGCAGCTGAAAGTGAGGCAAGTTGTCACCACTCGAATAGCTTGTACCTAGACGGTACAAAATATTTATGAAAACGTAAACTAATATATCGTTCATTTTTGAGTAATGCATATACAATTTTGTATTTTATAGTCTCACCTTTATAATATTAGAATATTTCAGTCGATAATGCAAAATTTATTTTACAGTCACAGTGGCCTGATTATCGAGACAATTATTTATTTATTAACGTGTGTATAATGCATAATTAAATAAAAAATAATGTAATAACATATGTTTTAAACGTGTATATACATATATACTGTATGATCAAAAAAAACGGCGTCTTGTTTGTTTGGAAATGACATTTACACAAATGAATATTAAAAATTACATTATTCATTGAATCCGTAAGTAAGTGTGAAGGGAATTGGCTAGATTCATTATTATACCATATAATCAAAAAAAAAAACGACGTCCAGTTGGCTTGTAAATCACGATCGATGACATTTCCCATATAATTCTACATATAAAATGACATAAAAACTATACAAAACGACATCGAAAAAAGACGGCGTCAGCGATGGCTATGAAATGAAGATCGCTGTCATTTTAAATGTAAAATTATATGGGAAATGTCATCGATCGTCATTTCCAAGCCAACTGGACGCCGTTTTTTTTTCGCGGTATTTACGCGGATATAATATTAAATTATATATAATGGAAAATAAATTTCTTGCAGTATTTAGGTATATAATAAAATTATATAAGAGTTTCTTGCCTTGAACTGCTAATATAAAAATTAATTCCACGGTGTGTTCGTCATAATGTGGATCAACCTGCTCTCACTACCGGTTTTGGGGCCCTACCCCATCATCAGATGAGCATGGGTATTTCCACAAAACGACGAGCACAGCGCAGAATATAAAAATACGACTTGTCGGCCGCTACTTTACGACCTGCAATTAACTGCAAAAAAAAATAAAAATAAATTTACAGATAAAATATACAAAAAAATGTTTGTTGCAGAAATTGTATTTCTCTGATTATAATTCCCTACGCCACTGGAGAAATCCAGGCTGAGTAGCATTATTTATAGTTTCAAACATTAATTATATTACAGGACATTGAAAATACTACTTGGAATTATTAAAAATAGTTTGGTTTGGATGTGGTACAAGACATATTAAAAGCATTTTACATATTTTTACTGCTATAATGAAAAAATGTACATTTTATGACCACATAACAAAAGTTGTGTATCGATTTTTACCTGTGAAATGTAATTCCAGCCACTTTTTTCTCGCTTCGGCCTTTGCAGCCATACGCTGAACATCTCAACATACTAAACAACACTGTTTATAAATTTAAAAGAAAACAGTTGTCACAAAAAACATAAAAATTCGCTCGGTGTCACCTCGAAATCTTGTCACCAAAGTATGGCCGCCGATCGAATTTTGGCCTCACAAACCGATCACGGGAGAATATGCGTATTACCCGTCCCCTCTCTTTCCTTGTCTAAGAATTATACTATACACCATAACATAATAATATTATATTTTTAACATTAAAAAAAGCTAGTTAAAATTCCCGGAATTTCCCAACTTTAAACCAATGATCACAGAATATACTAACCAATGATCTTGTTTGTTTTGCCTATGATTGGCGAGCGGCTGGGATTCCCCGACTACAAACCAATGACTTGGTTTGTTTTACTTATGGAGATATTGTTTTATTCTGTGGTTCCCCATGCACACTGATATTTCTAATCAATGCCGTCTCTAATAGAACAGCCTTGGAGCGAGATTTATGACGTCACGCTAGTTAGATACTACGGATTAATAAATATGTTGTAGAATACATGGAAAACATAATTATTCCTCAGATTTTTGGTTTGTATTTTATAAATTATATAGTTCACATGAAATATACATAATATACAGTTAATAACTACAACATATATACCTATTTATAGTAATAAATACTTTGGCAAATAAACTATGAACCATACAAATGCAGCAAATGTTTTACAATATACAAATAATGTATTACATAAGATATTGGGTAAAATGTAAATATATTTTAAATTTTGGGGTTTGAAAATCGATCTAATTTAATAAAAACATTCAATATCTACTAATAGTGATGTATTATTATTTGCATTCACAAAATTTATATGTATATTTTGCAAGTATCAATGTTCGAAAAATTATATTTACAAATAATACAATATCATCTAAAAAAGGCGTCAGCGATGGCTATGAAATGAAGATCGCTGGCATTTTTTATATAAAATTATTCTAAAATTTTTGATTTTCTTGGGATTTTTAGGTTCGGGAAAAACAGCTGATTTAAGTTTTCATTATTTTATTTGGTTTAAAAAACGTTTTGGCTAACTATAGCCTTCATCAGTGTTGTGTCATATGAGTGTCCGAGTGTCGATATAATCCAAAAATTACATATGAAATATTCATCACATAATGTTTACTGCAATTAATAAACTAATATAAACTTATCAAAGATGACCACATATTTTTAGAATTATTATTCTTAACAGTAAAACTATCTACATTGACTATGGAGACTATGGAGTACGCAGTAAACATTATGTGGTGCGTGGTGTGAATATTTTATATGTAATTTTTTGGATTATATTCGACACTATTTTTTGCATATGACACAACACTGATGAAGGCTATAATGTTAGCCGAAACATTTTTTTTGAATCAAATAAAAATAATGAAAACCCAAATGAAAACTTAATCACCGTTTTTCCCGAACCTAAATCCCAAGAAAATCAAAAAATTTAGAATATTTAGAAACAAGGTTCAAGAATATCAAATTTTCCAAGATTATAAAATTCTAGTTAATTTTTTTATGTGTACAATTAGGGAATGTCATCGATGTTCATTTCCAAGCCAACTAGACGCAGATTTTTTTTCGATGATACGGTATAATTCTTAAATAAAATGTAAATAACATTCGACCAATTAAAACAAAGAAATATGAATTTCTTAGTATTTTTAGTAACACCTTTATTCTTAAAACTTAATTTTGTATTGCAAATATACCAATTTTATTGTTATTTTATTCATATTGTATTCAGCCATCACTTAAATATTTGATATTAATTTGGTATTATAAATAATCGACACTATTCAGTAAAAATTACTGAACAAATAGGTATATGTTATGCTTTACATACATTATATTATCAAACAAAAACACATTCTTCTTTTAAACTTTATCATTCTTGTCTTTACAAAAATGTTTTTTAATTTTGAACTCAAAATAATAATCTTTTTCATGATCTTTAATACACATATTCTTTATTTTTCCCTAGATCATAATACCTACTTACGTGTTTGAATCTATCGAAGCTGAACCAACAACACTTGGAGTGGAGATTCCACAATATTGTTACGGATTCCGTGGGTCCACTAATTTAAACTCACGATAAAATACTTAACGAATTTATTTTCTCACTTTATACACAATTACTAACTTATAACACACAACAAACTAACTATTTATAAGATTCCTTCACCAAATTGTCCGATTTTCAATTTCCACGCGGTATATTCAAATTTCAAAAAACTGTCTCAGTTGTCGATGGCTCCGGCTTATATACTCTATTGACTGCTTCTCGAAATTTCCCCAATTCTCGGAAAGCGTACTTCTTCATACCAGACAATTCCATTGTCTGATTCCCTTTACTTCTCGACTTGACTAAAAAGATGGCGCCTGAAAAAGTCTTTTTAATTTCTGGCGGATACGTTGCGGTTGTGCAGGCAACCAGTAATACATTTTAATTTCTGGCGGATACGCCATTTTTCTTGACATTGCCCCTTCTCAAATTTGATGGTCCCGATCAAGGTTTCCTGTCTGGTATCTCTTCAATCGATCCAGATGAACTACTTTCATCTTACTTCTAGGGCTGCGATGAATCCGGTACACAACATCATTTATCCTCTTGATGACTGTATAAGGACCTTCCCATGCTGGAGTTAACTTTGGGGACCTTCCTTTCTTGCGCTGTGGGTTATACAACCATACCCTATCGTCCTGTTGAAATCCCGTAGAATTAGCTCTGAGGTCGTAATGAGCTTTCATCCGGTCACTGGCTAGCGCAATCTTACTTCTAACGGCCTTATGAATGTCCAATAATCTTTCCTTCCTAGCGATTCTTTCGAACGACAGTCCAACGCTATCCTGTTCCATTTCTTCCCCAGATCGAGTACTTGGTCTTTGTCTAGCTGCGCAAATCTTACAACGT